CAGTAAGTATAATAGAGGAAAACTACAGAGAACAATACTCTGTGATCTTATAATGCAGAGGCTTGGTCTACTTTGGCGAGAGTCAGAGGAGATTCTGGGGAGAGACATGAGATGGTGTAGAAGTTACTGAAGTAATGGAGGGAAGGAGAGGGGATGTGTTAGGCAGACACAGTATCTTATGCAAAGGTTCTTTAGCAGGAGGAAGCAAGGTGTATTTATGGAATTGAAAGAGGGCCAAGGTTGTTAGAAATGGAGGAGGTGGCAGGGGCCAGAATGTTCAGAATCTTTTAGGACTTAGTAAAGGGCCAACATTATTTAAGAGCATCAGGAAACCAACGAATAGGAAAAAGTATAAAAAATACATTTTTAAAATATTATTGTGGCTGCTGTTTAGACATAAGATTGGAAGGACCAAGACGACTATTTAGGAAACTAAATTGTGTCGATATAGGTGATAGTTTTCTCTAGACTTTACCATTAGATAGATGCTATTTTCCAAGACAGGTAACCTTGACACAGGATAGGTTTTGGTGCATAGACTTTGAGATGCCTATTTGTTAGCTAAGTGGAGTTCTCATTTAGGCAACTGTACCAGTATCTTGATTTTGCCACATTTTTTTTAACTCTAAGATGTATACTTTCATATTTTAATGTTACTGAAATTAAGCTATGTCTTATAATCGATGCTATGCCACAGATAAATTTCTAGTCCTTTGTATTTCTTAGTGGTATATAAATTGATAGGGCCCTACATCTGTAATGTCTTAGATCTATCAAAATATTGTTACCACCACCACACCAATTAGTAGCCCACAAGTGACCAAGTAAAAAAAACTTCCAATCCATATCCAAATAGGAACCACCAACCCTTAGAGCATCCAAACCAGTGTAAGAGTGACCAAAAAGGGCAATAGCTTCAATACAACTGATCTCTTTTCCACCCACCCACAAACAAGCAAGATGGAGGAAGAGATGGGAAACTGCCATCATTACCTAAATAAGACAGAGGCTGTATCGGTATCTGTTAAATGGAACACATCATAATAATAGTAATAACTAATGCTAAATAATACTGGCTACAAACCAGGTGTTACTTCTAAAGACTAGATGTTATTCTAAAGACTTTCCGTATGTTAACCCCTGTAGTCCTCATAACAACATTATCATGTGGACAGCTTTACCAATGATACTGAGCTGGAGAAAAGTTAACTAACTTACCTCAGATAACATAGCTCATAAATGGCCGATCCAGAGTCACACTCAAGCCGTGCTGCCCCAGAACCTCTGCTGTCAACCACTGCTCCCTCTGATGAAGATGATTAACTAATTGGTGGCCTGGGAGCAATAGAGAATTCTGGAAATTTTGTGTGGGCTTTTGCCACAGAACCAGACTATGATACATGTATTGAAGATCTTCAGATTTCACATGTGGCATGGAGAGGAAGGAGGAAGGAAAAGCTCTTACTCTGAGTTCTGAGAACAGTACTACTATATCTGAATCCAATATGACAATATTGGCTTAGCAGTGCATTCAAAGGAAGGTCCCCCATAAATTACAAAAATCATCAATATCTGCAACAAAAGTTAGGTTCCTAATTTTATCTTGTGTTGACATATGTAATAAAATGAGATCATGTTTTATAAACCATGTGTTTTCTAAAACTAAAAATGCTTATCTGTAATCAACTTTGATGTTATAAAGGAAGGTAGTCATTCAGAAATCATATCATTTGTATTACCTGTTGGTAAATGGTGACATTAGCAGGACTCTGAGCTAAGCCAAAAAGAAAAAGTTGTAGTTTTACATTTACCACTACAGAGATTTTAGTGTAGGCATTTTATTTTGTCTGAAATGAAAACATTGGTTTTATGGAAAATATAGTGCTTTATTAAAACCAATAAGCATAATCCTATCAAACATCTTTTTTAAGCTAAAGGAGTTAGAAAGATATAAATGTCAAGGAGGGGAGAAACCTTAAATGCAGTTCCAATGTTTTACACTAAATAACTTCTATTATTGCTAGTCTTTCCTACTTTCATTTTCTTTATGGTTTCAAAGAGAGAAATTCTGATCTATTTTGTTTCCTTATTTTGTGTGTCATGGAAAATTTCAGTCTTGTGTTTTATTTAGCTATGTGATTTCTCATGACGTAATGCTGCCTCCTTAGACTCCCTTACAACTTTTGAAGTCCTCTCTAGCATGAAGAGCCCCCCACTCAACTTATTTTTTTATGTTTATTTTTGAGAGAGAGAGAGAGAAAGAGAGAGAGAGCATGAGTGGGGGGAGGGGCAGAGAGACAGAGACACAGAATCCAGCGCAGCTCCAGGCTTCAAGCTCTGAGCTGTCAGTACAAACCCCAGTGTGGGGCTAGAACTCATGAACCACGAGATCATGACTTGAAGCTGAAGTCAGACACTTTACCTACTGAGTGACCCAAACACTGCACCCTCCCTCCAACTTATTGAAGAAGTATGAGCAAAAAAGTACGGCAGGTTCACTCCTCAGCACAGCTTTTATAATAGTTCCAGCCTCCTTTCTTTTGTTGACAGATGATTTTGGCAGGTGTTGACAGATATATATATATATCACCTATAGAATTCTGAAGCTACATGTAATCTGTTCACATATGTGAGGATGTCTGGGTTTTCATTTCTTTGTTTTGTTTGTTAGTTGCAAGGGAACAATTTTGAACTTTCCCTTTTAAAAGGAGGTGTAGAAGTCCCTAAGATGTGTATAATGGAAAGATGCAATAACATATTATTTACTATTTTCTAAGTCTTTCATTTCTATTATTATTGAAATAATTGTAGATGAAAAATGGTAACATATTCATCTAGTACATATAGACATGGTACCATATGGTATATCTTATATCACTTAAGTGTTAGCATTGTCCTAACAATTTTATGAGGTCAATATTCTCACCTGAAGATAAACTGATTTGTCTAATATTTCACAGTTGTTAATGATGACTTGAGAAGTAGAGCCCAGGTCTGTCTGTATCAGCCAGGGTCCAATTAAGAAATAGAAGCTACACAGTAATTTGAGCAGGAAGAGTTTAATGTAAAGAATTATTTACTATGATGTGCTACTAATGCATAAAAGGAACTCTAAAGAATTGAGAGCAGATATAGGGAGTGGCTGGTACTCCAGGTCTGAAGCAGAGCACCTAAGGAAAGAACCAATTTTAAAGAAGAACTTCTACCTCCACTCCACCCCCACCTCCCAGAAGCCACCTATTCTTGGAGAAGGCATAGCTTTGGCCCAGTGAATGATAAATAAGTTCACTGACTCTAGGGGAACTCACAGGGAGGGCATTTTCTGGGGTTCTCGCGGAGCTGTCCATAGGAAGGTGTCACACTGTGGAACACACAGGGAAACCATTTATGGGAAGGTGCTGCAACCTGGAACTTGGCCGGAACCTCCCAGTGTATGTGTGTGGGGTGTTCCAGGAGACACAACCCGGAAAGTCCCCTACAGTGGTAGCCCCTGTGCACTGCTGGGGCTTGCAGACAGAAGTACCCAGAACCAGAAAGAGCCCCTTCATCTTCTAGTTCCCTTCTTTGCTTTTTATGGAAGACGCATAAAATTGTGCCTTATGGCGAAGAAGTGCTCTCATCTCAGAAGCAGGACAGTGAGAGTTGGATTAGGAGTGAGGCAATAGATTGATACCTGGCACACTGCTCACCAACAAATCTAATTTCTTAATCATTCAAGCATTATGTCATATTGTCTTATACTTACTATACCACAAAATATGCTATTTAACAAAATAAAGGGATATAAAAAGAAAGGAAGGAAATTAGGAAGGAAAGAAAATAAAAGTAACTGGGTTATAAATGAAGATTTGTATCAGTATTTCTCTTTCCTTTGAGATGTTTCTAGGTAGGGTCACTTTGAATGCATTGCTCAGGAGATTGTCTTATTGAATTTTAGACACTGGTTTATCAACCAAAAACTGAAGTTACAAACTGGAGGCCCAGGGTCCATAGCCAAAGATTTTCACTCTACAATTCCAATTATTTTTGGATTCGAGTTTTCTCATCTACTAGTTAATGCACATTATGTTTGGTTGACAATCATATGTTTGCAAATCAGAGCTTCCTTAGATAATCCAAAGCCTATCTGCATCATTTACAGACTGCAAGATTTAGGCAAGTTACTTAATTTCTCTGCTTCTCAAATTCTTCATTATTTCCATTTTTAAAATAATATGATATGCCTTATAGATAATTTTTATGAAAATTAAATGTATTAGTGTTTAAAAGAACTTGGAACAATTCCTTCCATACAATAAGTGGTATGTGAATATTTATATGGGGCACCTAGGTGGCTCAGTCGGTTAAATGTCCAACTTTGGCCCAGATCATGATCTTACCGTTTGTGGGTTCGAGCCCCACATCGGACTCTGTGCTGACAGCTCAGAGCCTGGAGCCTGCTTTAGATTCTGTGTCTCCTTCTCTCTCTGCCCCTCCCTCACTTCTACGCTCTCTATCTCTCAAAAATAAATAAGCATTAAAAAAAAATAAACATTTGTATACAAGTCACTATATTTTCTTAAAGACCATAGTCTAGGAATATTAATTCAGTCATTCCACTTTAGGGAACTCTACATTTAGTCAACAGTTTTGTCAGATGAATCTGATTTCATTGTTTAATAGCAATTACAAATATATATGGTTATGTTATGTATAATATAAATACTATTCATTGGTTACTTTACTTTTTTCCATATCTATTAATAATACTACTTTAAAGTGATAAAGTTTAAAGATGATATTAGTAAATCCCTTACTCCTTAATTTTTGCTAGGAATTATCTGCATAGTAAGATTGTTGGTGAAGTACCTCTGGCTAAAGAAAACCCAGTTGTCAACATAACCATTAGCATGCAAATTATTAAATAGTTTTTAAGTTGCATCTTTTAAAAATACATTAGACATTTCATAAAAATGTCTAAGATTTCAAAAAATTTAATATTCATTTTTTTTTTTTTACAGAAGACCATGACAGATATTCTCAACTCCTCAAGAAGTACAATGCTATTGAAATGTTATTTACGCTCTATCCCCCTCAAGGTGCCCATGTGCATAAAAATATACGACTTAGGTCAACTTGGCTGAGACCCATAGTAAATGGAGAAGAAGGATATAAATATATAGGTAAGATGCTGAATCTTATTTTTTTTTATAATATAGAAGAAATGACCCTTTATCTAACTATTATTTGTCACTTAGATGATGTAGGGTAATATCTAGGCCCTATGCAATATTCATTTTAGTTCTCAAGTATTATTCCTGCAGTTTAAAAAGTGGTTACATTACACATTGGTCCCTCCTCTAGAATAGTGGAAACACACTGTGATTAGTCATTCACCTGATGATGGACATTTGTGTTGCTTTCCAAAATGTGATACTCTACAGAAAGTTACTGTGAACGTTTGTTCACCTATGCTAGCAGTTCTCTTAACCAAACTCTTTTCCAAAGTAGTTCTATCATTTGGTATTCCCTGCAGGAGAGACTTCAGAATTGCATTTGCTCCACAGCTACATCAGTACTTGGTATAATTGGTTGTTTACATGTTAGCCATCCTGATAGAGAGATATTAGTATTCTGTTGTGGTTTTCATTTTTCCAGGGGATCATGGTATTTAGCATGTTTTTATGTATTCGTCATTGGATATCATCGTCGTCCAACTGTTGAAATTTTTGACCCTTTTATAATAGATCCTTTCTTACTGAGTGTTGAAAGTCCCTTAGATATTTTGAATATAAATCCTTTAAGATATAGTCTTTGAAAATAATTTCTCCTAGTCTGTGTCTTGTCTTTTCTATCTTTTAATAATATGGTTTGAAGAGAAGTTTTTAATTTTGATGAAATCCAGTTTACCACTGTATTCTTTATTTTTTTATTGTGATAGCCAAGAAATATTGCTCAGACTTCTGGTCTCAAGGTTTTCTTCTAGAAATTTTATACCTTTGGTTTTTGTATTCCAGTGTATAATCTGTTTTGAGGTTTATTTTTTTTTTTACTTGGCTCAAGGCATAAGTTGAAGTTATTTTTTTTCTTTCTTAAATTTAACATGGTTTTATCCAACTGTGCTAGCACTATTTGTTGAAAAGACTACTCTTCTATTATTACATTTGTATTTTGGGTAAACCAAATAGACTAAGAAGATATCTAGATGGCAAATAAGCATGTGAAATGATTTCTCTTTAAGTTCTATATAAGATGATAAACATCATTAGTCACTAGGGAAATACAAATTGAAGTCATAACGAGAATCCTCACCTATCAGAAAGACAAAATTAAATTTGAAAATATGACAGTGCCAAGTCTGGTAAGGATGTAGAGCAACTGAAACACTTATTTATTGCTGGTAGAAATGTAAGATGATATAATCAATTTCTGAATATTTTGATATTTTCTTATAAAGTTACATTATTTTAACTATAAGCCAGCCACCTCACTCTGGGGTAATTACCCAAGAGAAATAACAGTATTTGTTTACCAAAAACCTATATATAAGTGTATATAGTTGCTTTAGTCATAATTGCCAAAAACTGGAAACAACATAAATGTTCTTCAGCTGGTGAGTTGGTAAATGAAATTTGTTACATCTACACAATGAAACATTTTCTGTTATAAAAGGGAATGAAATATTGATACACACAACAGGAATTTCACATGCATCATGTTAAGTGAAAGAAGTGAAATTCATAGGCTATATATAAATTCTATTTAAATGACACTTTGGAAAAAGTGAAACTATAGGACAGAGATCAGTCCTGTGATTTCCAGGGCTTACCGCTGATGGGAGGATTTTATCACAAAGAGGCAGCATGAGGGAGTTCATAGGGTGATGGAATTGTTCTGTCTCTTGATCATGATAGTCGTCATGTGACTCTAAAAATTAGTCAAAATGAACTGTATACCAAAAGAGTGAACTTTACTTTAAATAAAATTTTATAAATAAATACAAAATAAAAAGAGAATAGGATTTATGTGAATGACAGACAAGTCCAAAAAAGATTGCATCATTGTTACTCATTAGGGAAATGCAAATTGAAACACAATGCGATACCACTACACACTTACTAGAATGACTAAAATTAAAACGACTGAACACACCCAGTTTTGACAAGCATGTGTAGCAACATTATCATTAATATTCTGCCAGTGCAAATGTAAAGTGGTAAGAACACTTTGCAAAATAATTTGGTGTTTTCTTAAAAAGTTAAATATAAACCCGTTTTATGACCCAACAATACCACTCCTAGATATCCAAACTGAAAGAATGTATACATCCATAATAGACTTGTACATGAATATACATAGGTCCCTTTTTACTTAAAAGACTCAAAGTAGAAACAATTCAAATGCCTATCTATAGGATAAAGGCTAAACAAATTGTGATATATCCAAGCAGAATACTACTCAGCAATATAAAAGAACTAGTGACAATATTGATATATGTAATGACATGGCTGAATCTGAAAAGAATTATGCTGAGTAAAAGAAACCAGATCCGAAAAAAGAGGACAAGAGTGTGAGTTCATTTTAAAGTCTAGATAAAACTAAACCTTATGACAGAGCAGATCTGTGTTTACCTGGGATTGGGTTGGGGAGTGGAAGTGAGATATGATGGGTTACAAAATTTGGGGATGATGGCAATATTTATTATCTTTACCATGGTGGTAGTTCCATGTATGTATACATATGTCAGATTCATCAAATTGTATACTTTAAATATGTGCAGTTTTCATTTATACTTCAATAAAACTATAAAATAAAGTTGAAAACATAAATGTAAAGAACCAAGATAGTGAAATTTGTATTTTGGTAATACTTTTGAGAAATTATTTCTCTTTAAGTTTTCAATTCAGCATTTTAGGACTTATCTATAGAGAGCCACAGATTTAGTACAGTATCATTGGGCTAGTGTATATCATGGTATATTTAAGTGCCTTGTTCTGATGGATAATACAGGGGAAGAAGAGGAGGGAAAAAGAAGGAAAATTATGAAAAAGGAAAAAGAAGGAAAATTATGAAAAAGGAAAAAGAAGGAAAATTATGAAAAAGGAAAAAGAAGGAAAATTATGAAAAAGAAAATTGAGGGCTTCAGGCTTTATAACATGTACCAAGATCCTGTTGCAATTTATCTTCTCTTTGCTGTTTTCCACCTGAACATTACCACAGTGTAACCCATACATTCCAAAAGATTTGTGTTCATTGTTTATAGCCCATTTGTGAACATTTGGTGCAAATAAAACAAACATAAAGAAAACATGCAAAAGGCATTATTTTGTAAGTTAAAGACTCTATCTTCTGAAGTTTTATGCTTATCTTTTCCCTTTTTAGTCAGTGACCAAGGTCTTGTATCCTTTTGAATTACAGTTGTTATTAAATTGATAGAGAAAATAGTTTCCAGCATTTGCCTTGAGAAAGATTAGTGTATTACAGAAGCACTTTCTAAACTCGGTATCTGCTCCACTAGAAACATTTTAGGGAAGATAGCTCTGGGAATTTATTATGTGTCCCAACATTAATAGTAATCCACAGTGTAGGCACTCCTGTTTATTGACTTCACTCTGTAGATTTAGGGAAGCATCATGAGCAAGAACTGAGGAGTAGTTAATAGAGTTAGTGAATGACTATAAATGGTATGGTTGCTGACAAATTATATAGTATTAGGACCATACATACTCTAAAAATATTCATTATATCCATGTTTTTATATCCCATAATCCCCATCATAGTGGTTTGAATGTCACTAGAATAGAGCATAAGTCATAACTTCAAATCGCTTAAATACACACAGTATTTCTTCTGAATCATAATTTTATAATTTTAGATCCATGAAATAAAAAAAAGGCTTTAAATTTTTCTTCAGGAACATATGTTTTGTCAAACTTATTTTCAGAAAATGAGTTTAACAAGCCTTTTGGAAGGCTGGTCTTTTCATGTGTCTTTTGTTATCTTTCCTTAAGAGTTGTCTGCCCTTGAGTCTCCCTGGTCTTCTGGCCTGTCACAGACACACTGAACTTGTTTCTCACCTGCATTAGCTTTTGTGACTTTGGTGGGTTCTCAGCCTGGAAGGTGTAGATTATATTAAGGAACTCCTGGAATTCTAATGGGAATACCTTGAAAGGAGTAGGTTAGCAATTATCTCTCAAGACAATCATTTAGAGCATACAAATGAATGATTAAATTACATTTTCAAACCAATGGTGCATTCTTAACTTAATCATATTATTATATTAATGTAAGGCTTCTAATTAGCTCAGATCCTGCGTAATGAGCAAAGACTTTTAGTTCTACTACTTCTTCTCCATATATCATTTCCAGCCCTTCATATAGTACATTTTACTTACCCCTATAACATATGGTTATTTAAGTTATATAATTAATGCTGGAACTGATTTCCCAGCCTAATCACTGTTTTCTTACCCATTATAAAAGTACAAGATATCTCTTCATGCTGTTCAGGTTATTCCACTGCCTCAGGCAAGACCTGATGTATATTAGCCAAATGAGAATCCCATCTTTAGACTCTGGCAATTACATAATTGTCCTTGACAGGTCTGATTTTTGATGATGATCTCTCTCAGAACTTTCTACTCTGCAACATACAACTTTCTCTTTTTACACATGCTTCTTTGCAGTTGAAACTTTTTCTCAGTCCACAAAATTAAGTCCATGCATAGATTAATAAGAATCTTTCTTTTTCTATAATAGGCCTTTATTTTTATTTTTCAAGATGTCTTTTTTTTTTCTTTCGTAGTTTATTGTCAAGTTGGTCTCCATATAACACCCAGTGCTCATCCCACAAGTGCCCTCCTCCATGCCCATCAACCCCCTTCCCCTCTGCCCCACCCCCATCAGTCCTCAGTTTGTTCTCAGCATTCAAGAGTCTCTCATGGTTTGGCTCCCTCCCTCTCTTCAACTATTTTTTCACCTTCTCCTCCCCGATGGTCCTCTGTTAAGTTTCTCCTGTTCCACTTATAAGTGAAATCATAGAGTATCTGTCCTTCTCTGCCTGACTTATTTCGCTCAGCATAACACCCTCAAGTTCCATCCATGTTGCTACACATGGCCTGATTTCATTCATTCTCATTGCCATGTAGTATTCCATTGTATAGATAAACCACATCTTCTTGAT